TCTCTTCTCTGTACTGAGTTAAGCTTTAACCCTTTCCTATACCAACTGTATGTGTGTATGTGTGTGTGTGTGTGTGTGTGTGTGTGTATGTTAGACCAGTTTATGTGTTTATGTAGTATGTTAGACTAGTTTAAGTGTTTATGTAGTTAATAAAACCTTACTTGTATCACACTTGACGTGGTTCATTGTTTGCTTATAACTGGAGTCACTTAATCATGCAGATTTATGCTACAAGCTTTTGTAGAATTGTACAGTAAGAAAGTTATTTCCCTTAACCAGGAAACTAACGTTCTTAGAATTGACAAGACAGTTGACCCTGAGAGGTCAGCTAAATATCTACAGCGGATCCAAAATATTCATAATTAATTATAACTAGTTATGGTTAATTATTCATATTTCCCATGAGCTGATTCGTTACATACTTCTTCTGACTCACCTCTCATTTTCTCTTTTCCTCTCTACATGTCTCATCTTGCGTTGTCTCTTCTTACTTCTTGTCTTGTCTCTTGTCATTTCGTCTCACTCACCTCATCTGTTGTTTGCTTGTTTCTTCTCCGCCTCTTATTCTTGTCTTGTCTCGACAAGCTTCATTTTCTTCTCTTCTCTTTTCTCGTCTCCTCTCCTGCTGTTTTTTCTCTTTTTGTTCCTTTTGTTTCTCGGTGGGTCTCAGCTTGAATTTTTTGTTTACTTGTCTCACTTTGCATTTTCTTGTCTTTTCTCATTTTGTTTTTCCTCAACTATTGTCTGCTTATTTCTTCTTTGACTGTACTTCTTCTCGTCTAAATACGATCTCTTTTCTCATCTTGTCTCATCTTCTTTCCTCCTTTCTTTACATTTATTTTCTCACCTTTTCCAGTTTTGTCTTTCCTAAAATATTTGGTTACTTGTTTCTTCTCCGTCTCACTTTCTCATCTAGTCTCTTTCCTTTTTCATTTCTCCTCTCTTCATTTTTCCTTTCAAATTGATTCGTCTAGTCTTGACTTGTCTCTTCTCGTTTCTTCTGTTTACTTCTTCTTGATTTTCATTTCTTCACACTTTTTCTTAGTTGGTCTCAGCTTTTTTTGCTAATTTCTTCACTACCTCTCCTCTCAATTTCTCATTTTGTCTCATCCCTTTTCATTTCACTTCATTTTTTGTTTCTTTTATTTTTGTCTTATCCTACCACTCATTTTCTCTTCCCGTCTCTCATTTCATTTCTTCTCTCAGGACTGTCTCCAGACGGACTCTCAGACAATTTGAAGTTTCGGAAGCAGGATTAATATGTCAAAATGTGCAGAACAGAATGATGGAGAGAAGAACCCCTGGAGTGATTCTTCAGTCAAGGTCATGTAGAGGAGAGCAGTGAATGTGTCTCTGAGCGAGCGCAGACAGTCAGATTGAGCAACTTTGTAAACTCAGAGGTGAGAGCAGGTTTACTGATGATGAGAGGAGCACAGGGAGGAACTGAGACATCAAAGGCTTTCGTCATACAGCTACATGACACTGTATACGTGCCTGTGTGTGTGAACGCACACGACATGGACTTTAATGCATGCAACGTGTTATGCAACCATGCCTTAGTTCAATATGAGCAGCATCCCTTACGAAACAAAAATATATGGGAATATACTGCAACATATAATGCTATATATTACATAATACATTTCCATATATTAGAAACTAGTGCTTATATTTTTCAATATACAGCAATATATGCATTGACAATATAAGGCTATGTATTGATACATACAAATATATTTAGAAATTAAGAAATAAATATTCATTGTTTGATTCTTTATTTAGTATATATTGCACATAGGTGCTCCCATATAAATGTGAATGTATGTACACACATATATACACACATTCACTGAATGAGTTACAGCAGATTTCTAATTCCCAGCATGCTTTGCTTGACTGCTAAATGAGAGTAACAATTTTAAAATTAAGTGTTATTTCATGTGTTTTTTCTCAATATTAATATAGGGGAGATCTGTTAGTGTTTAATGTTGTAATTGAAATGTAAAAGGGTTTCTGGTGTGTAAGTTTGTGGGGTCACCATTGTGCAGAGGAGTAGAACCTGTGGTTAGAATGATGACTGGACAAATATTAGATTATACGTTATTTTATTTAAAAATAAATTTCAGCACAGTGATAGTCTGTTCATTAAATGTTTAGTATGAGCAGATGTGCTTATGCTATTGTAAACTAGCTATATTTAAAAGTATGCAACATGTATATCATAAATGATAAATATAAGAAATATATAGCCCATTTCCATATATGTGTCATGGGGTGCTACTGTGAGGAGCACGGAACGAGGAAACCAGGAGACCAGGAGTACAAACCAATGAGTTTAATTCAATCGCGGGGAATCACACATAGCACAAGGGAGTTGACATAAACAAACAATACCGGACAACACTAACTCAAAGGACTCAGACTTTTAAGCACAGGATGACGAGGGACTAAGGAAACACACCTGGGATCATTGGAAATAACACATGGGAAACACTTGGGATGAAATCAACAAACACCTGGGGAGCAAGACACAGACAAAACATGAAACAGAGTCTGACATAACACCCCCCTCCGGAAGGCGTGTCCTCACACCATATAACATCCAACGGGAAGGGGGGGTGGGCGCTCTGGAGGTCCCTCAGGACAGACACGGGACAGTGGGCCTCTAGAGCAGTACCCCTTCGGGACACCATGGCGGATCAGGGGACTCGAGAGGCCAGGGCAGAGCAGGGGACTCGGGAGGCCAGGGCGGAGCAGGGGACTCGGGAGGCCAGGGCGGAGCAGGGGATTCTGGAGGCCAGGGTGGAGCAGGGGACTCGGGAGGCCAGGGCGGAGGCAGCCCCAGCCTCGGCCACTAGCCCCCCCCCCCCAAAAAAAACAGGAGCCCTACCTGGGCTTAACGGGGAAACAGGAGCCCTCCCTGGGCTTAACGGGGAAACCGGAGCCCTCCCTGGGCTATACTCTGGAACAGGACACTGGAGTGAGCTCTGGGGGAACGGGCACTTGAGGGCGCTCTGGAAGGCACTTACGAGGAGCGGGCACTGGTGCTGGAACCGACACTGGGCCCACATGAACACTTGGTGGGCTAGCCACATTAACGTCCTTTGGGCTTGCCACATTAACGTCCTTTGGGCTTGCCACATTAACTGCCGGCTGACTTGACTCGGGAACTCCTTGCTGACTTGGGGGAGCCGCGGACGGCGGCGGACTGGTTCTGGCTCGGGACAGGACACTCCCCAGACACCGGAAGACACCTTCTATCCAACTTAGTCCAGTGGTGTCTGGGAGGTCCACAGGGCAATGGTAGTTGGCCCCGAGCCAGAGCAGCTGATTAAGGACGGCGTCACTGCGGCGAGCTTGCAGAACTCCCTGGCGTACTCGTAGAAGGGGAGATCGAAGCGAGCTAGGGCGGAGAAGCGAGCGGCAATTTCCATAGCCGCGAGGGAAAAACCAAGGAAAACAAAAACTTCGCACAAAGGTGGAAAAAACAAACCTGAAGAACAGTCCCCCCCCCTTTTTTTTTCTGAGCCAGAGCAGCTGATTAAGGACGGCGTCACTGCGGCGAGCTTGCAGAACTCCCTGGCGTACTCGTAGAAGGGGAGATCGAAGCGAGCTAGGGCGGAGAAGCGAGCGGCAATTTCCATAGCCGCGGGGGGAAAACCAAGGAAAACAAAAACTTCGCACAAAGGTGGAAAAAACAAACCTGAAGAACAGTCCCCCCCTTTTTTTTTCTTTTTGGGTCCGGTATTCTGTCATGGGGTGCTACTGTGGGGAGCACGGAATGAGGAAACCAGGAGACCAGGAGTACAAACCAATGAGTTTATTTAAATCGCGGGGAATCACACGTAGCACAAGGGAGTTGACATAAACAAACAATACCGGACAACACTAACTCAAAGGACTCAGACTTTTAAGCACAGGATGACGAGGGACTAAGGAGACACACCTGGGATCATTGGAAATAACACATGGGAAACACCTGGGATGAAATCAACAAACACCTGGGGAGCAAGACACAGACAAAACATGAAACAGAGTCTGACAATATGTGTGTATATACTGCATTAGTAAATATATGTTTAATATATTTTACACATGCAGTACCATATATTATCTATATATTATAAAGTGTATTACTGAATATAAAATTACATATATTATGATAGATAAGTAAATATATTGTCACATATTTTTCAATATATGAAAAGCGGCAATTCCTTATGTATTATTCAGTATATTGTAATATATTTACACAATATATTATTCTGTATAATTTCTTATATATTGTTATGTCGTTTAATATATTGATCATTCATATATTAGGAAATATATTTTCTTTGCGTAAGGGATGAGAGACTCCCTTCTCTCTTTCTCTTTCTCTTGTTTCTTTTTCTTTCCACAAATAGAAACTGTCTCAGTTCCTCCCTGTGCTCCTCTCAAATGCAGTTTTGTTTTTAAAAAGTTTTTTTTTGCTTGTTCGTAAAATTTAGCCAAACCCTGTTATTATATATCAATGTGGCTATGTAATAATAATAATAATAATAATAATAATAATAACAATAATAATAATAAATTAACATTATTATTATTATAAAATCTGATGTTAAAGAAAAAAAATGTATGATAATTTTATTGTACAGTACTGTACAACTGTAAAATTACACTTCTAATATTTATAGCAATCTTAATTTTTTCATGTTCAGATTATAACTCATCAAGCTTTTAGAGCAATTTGAACATAAAATAATAATAATAATAATAATTTAAAAAATATAAATAAAATTATTATTATTATTATTAAATCTGGTATTAAAGAAAAAAATACAATAATTTTATTGCACAGTACAACTGTAAAATTACACTTCATTTTCCAACATTAGACCATCAAGATTTTATTTTGGTGGAAAACTGCAGGAAGACTTTAAACCAGTTTTGCTGACAACTGCCAGTTCATAAGTGCTTCTTATTACACATTTGGGATGATGGTTGGCGCATGTTGCATTCCCAAACTTAGAGCAGATGTAGAGATGAGTTTGTGTGGAGCAGCATTTACTGTGAACCGATTCGCATTGAGATGCTGAAAACACTGGATCATGAGCTGCTCACGTGTAAATGAACACAATGCTTCACATTGAAACATGCAGCGCGTATGTGTTTTCATTTAAATTGCAGCATTTGCCTTTTGATAATGGCCCTAAGCCATATAGTGATTTTGCTTTTATTTCGATTAATCATGCAGCTGCATCGCATCTCATGATTCCGTTTCCTTTTCTTTTCTTCTCATTCTCTCCTTTCATCTCATCCCAATTCATCCTCTTTTTTTCTTTCTTTATCATCTTATTTTCTTCTCCTTTTATTCTCTTCTCTCCAACTGTTTTGAGGAACTCGAAGCTATCGAAGAAAGCAGAACTGTGGAATTATAGGAAGAGCGTAAAAGGAGACCAAATAATCACTAAGGATACAAAACCAAGTAGTGTTAAAACAAAACAAAAAACTAGCACAGCGACAGCAACTAGATAATGACTGAGGTATGACATCACAAACCCACCACTCACAGCCGCACACTTTTGTATATGTGTGTGTGTGTGTGTGTGAAGGCCTGTCATGTTTTGCGCTGTGCTTTTGAGGAGCTGTGAAAGAAAAACAGGGAAAAATCTTTTAATCACTTTCCTCTCCGGAGAGCAGAGAGCCTCTCCAGAGGGCTGGAGACGGAACGAAAGAGCGCGTGTGTGACTCACTATTCATGTTTGATATTTTTGTGCTAAGTGGAAAGAGACTGTTGTGTGTGTGTTTCACACTGAGGGAGAGAAAAGAAGCTGAATGTGTGTGAGGTTGTGCTTTCTCTGTGAGTTGACGGAAGCGTGTGTGTGTTTGTGTTTATTTATAGGATGTCATATATGTTATGCACAGTCTTTATATATATTGCATCTTCCAGCTGTAGCAGCGGTTGAACTGTATCTGAAGAAGTCTGAGTGTAGATGAAGGCTAATGTACCGATAAACAAATACTATCAACTAAATAATGCAAACAACAATACAGTACACAGCAACATACGAAAGCAGAGTATAGAAATATACAGGCAATATATATTCATCCATAACAAATGATGCATCAAACGCAGCCTGGAAATTCATCAGATTCATGTGGACTCACTATTCATGTTTGATATTTTTGTGCTAAGTGGAAAGAGACTGTTGTGTGTGTGTTTCACACTGAGGGAGAGAAAAGAAGCTGAATGTGTGTGAGGTTGTGCTTTCTCTGTGAGTTGACGGAAGCGTGTGTGTGTTTGTGTTTATTTATAGGATGTCATATATGTTATGCACAGTCTTTATATATATTGCATCTTCCAGCTGTAGCAGCGGTTGAACTGTATCTGAAGAAGTCTGAGTGTAGATGAAGGCTAATGTACCGATAAACAAATACTATCAACTAAATAATGCAAACAACAACACAGCAACATACGAAAGCAGAGTATAGAAATATACAGGCAATATATATTCATCCATAACAAATGATGCATCAAACGCAGCCTGGAAATTCATCAGATTCATGTGTTTAAACAAGGTTGTTAGAAGAGATTTGTATGTGTGTGTGTGTGTGTGTTAAAATCTGGCAATGTGTTGAGATGGACAGATTGTGCTGAATGAGTGCCATGTCTTCAGAGTCTGTTCATTCCTTCATTCCTCTTCTTCTACCATGTTGTCCTTTTATTCTCATATCTTGATCTGTTTTTCCCAGTATAAATCTATCTATCTGTCTGTCCATCTATCTATCTGCCTGTCTATCTGTCTTCCTGTCTGTCTGTCTGTTTTCCTTCCATCCAGTCATCTGTCTGTTTGTCTGTCTATCTATCTATCTATCTATCTATCTATCTATCTTTCATCCATAACAAATGATGCATCAAACGCAGCCTGGAAATTCATCAGATTCATGTGTTTAAACAAGGTTGTTAGAAGAGATTTGTATGTGTGTGTGTGTGTGTGTTAAAATCTGGCAATGTGTTGAGATGGACAGATTGTGCTGAATGAGTGCCATGTCTTCAGAGTCTGTTCATTCCTTCATTCCTCTTCTTCTACCATGTTGTCCTTTTATTCTCATATCTTGATCTGTTTTTCCCAGTATAAATCTGTCTGTCCATCTATCTATCTGCCTGTCTATCTGTCTTCCTGTCTGTCTGTCTGTCTGTTTTCCTTCCATCCAGTCATCTGTCTGTTTGTCTGTCTGTCTGTCTATCTATCTATCTATCTATCTATCTATCTATCTATCTATCTATCTATCTATCTATCTATCTATCTATCTATCTATCTATCTATCTGTCGATCTATCTATCCGTCTATCTGTCTTCCTGTCTGTCTGTCTGTCTGTCTTTTTTCCATCCAGTCATCTGTCTATCTGTCTGTCTGTATTGCTTTCCATACACCTGGCAATAAACCAGCCACATAAAGAGCCTGAAAGAGACAGCGGGCGGTTCAAAAGAAAAGCACGCCATTACACTCGTTAAACGACCTGACATATTAATTTCTCATTCCCCTTTGTACTCGTCCCCAGTGATCACCTGCTAAATATTTATCAATAAGAATCAATTGAGGGGATCGTTAAATATTCATGATCTCGATTAATATTCGGAGGCGTTGGATGCATAATGAGCAGCAGGTGGAGGATGGAACACGACCAACATTC